GCAGGAGAATTGCTTGAACTCGGGAGGCAGAGGTTGCAGTGAGCTGAGATTGCGCCACTGCACTCCAGCCTGGGTAACAGAGCAAGACTTCATCTCAAAACAACAACAACAAAAAAATGACAACCAAATGACAGTAGATTAGTTCTCGCAGGAAACACAGGATCTAGCCCTAATGATGTTCTTGGATTAGACAATGATAAGTCTTACCAACAAACTAAGCAACTGGGAAACTCCAGAAGACTGTTAATCCAGCAGTAAATGAACCACCCTAGAAGCACGATCTCCAACAAACAAAACTTGCCTTTACTGTGGCCAGAAATAAAGGACAGAGAGCATGTCTGAAGGCAGAACACAGGTTTAGGCAGGAAAGGGAATCTCAAGTTTGAGATTCCGTAGCTGAGATATTCAGCAGCTAATGAATATGTGAATTTGAAGGAGAAGGTAAAGAAAAAGAAAGACGATACCTTTTGGAATCTTCCATGGATTTTGTGAAAAATCCATTGATAAACCTGGAACCTTGGGGTGCTCGAACACTTAAAGGCTGAAGAAGAGATACTTGGAGAAAGAAGGAATGGCTAGAGAAGAGAAGAAAGCAAGAATAACTGTGGAATCAGGAATCATTTAAAGAGGAAGAGATGGGTCAACTGCAGCAAAGTGTCCAGCAGGCCAAGTCAGATAAACGCTGACAGATGCCCACTGGAGTCAACTGGAGTCCAGGCGGGGACATGGGCAGGAAGAGTTGATGGAGGTCTGGAACACAGGCGAAGCTGGCAGAGGACATCGGACTTTGCCCTGCGAGCTGTATTAAGTATGCATTTTTATTTTCTGTATTTCTGATGCTTTGACATCGTGGGGCCTTGTTGACTCTGGAGAGACTGCCCCTCCCAGGGTAGCCATTCCTAGAGAAAGTAAACTCACAGAGACAGAACACAGGCTTAGCTAGGAAACGATCAAGATTGAGATTCTGTGGCTTGAGCTATTCAACAGATAATGAACATACAAATTTAAAGGACAAGGTAAAGAAATGGTGCAAGCTCGCTTTTCATTTACAAAGCACCAGTGCAGAGCGCACATCTTCACCACCTCCTCTACTGGGCTCTCAGACTCTGGGCCAACGTTCCTCTGCCCTCATTGCTCCAGGGTCAGGTACCTGACAACTAGAGGCAGCCCTTAGTGCCAGGGCCCACTGAAATCATTCAAACCAGCCAGTCCTACGCCTGCCTGCCATGCCTTGGCTCTCCTGGGGAAATCACAGCACAACCTCTTACCCACATTTTCCCTGTTCTTCCTTCCTCCTGACCTGCCCTGATGCTTCCCGCTGTGGCCCTGTGTGGTGCGCTGTGCTTCTGTCTTTAGGGACCCATTAAGATAAACGTCTTCCTTCATGACGGTCATTTCCATGTGTCTGTGTCTTACTACCTCTGATTAAAACAAATCCCACGTACATTTTAAAACATGGAAGGTGGTAGATCCCGCATAGAAGGGTGATCTAGTCATATAATGCAAAAAGTGGCTACAAGAAAGCTTATATCTCTCTTTGTAATCTTCTGTAACAGTTTTAAATTAACTTTTTCTAAACACAGTATGTGGTTTCCTAGATTAGACAACGGAAATTTTTGTTGTTGTTGTTGAGACAGTCTTGTTCTGTCGTCAGGCGCCAGGCTGGAGCGCAGTGGCACAGTCTCGGCTCATTGCAATCTCCGCCTCCCAGGTTCAAGCAATTCTCCTGCCTCAGCCTCCAGAGTAGCTGGGACTACAGGCACGCACCACCACACCCAGCTAACTTTTGTATTTTTTAGTAGAGACGGGGTTTCACCATGTTGGCCAGGATGGTCTTGATCTCTTGACCTCGTGATCCACCCGCCTCAGCCTCCCAAAGTGCTGGGATTACAGGCTGCGCCCAGCCGGCAATGGAATTCTTTATGCAGCAAGAGTTTTCCAATATATTTCAAAATACCTTATTGTGAATGTTTTTGAAATGTGCAGTTATTCTCTGATTACCATATGTTAAAAATTTTACCAACGTAATGTAAAATACTGAATCAGATAATAAAATAGATTAAGCACTCATAAGAAATGTTTTTCCTAAGAATGGCATATATGTGGGTTTAAAGGATTGGAAGGATAAATCTCTCAAAAGTAACACAACTGAACCAAAATTTAATTCATCAGTATATGAGATAAGCAAGTTTATTGCCCATTGTCCACATAACCTAGCCAATGCACTAGATTTCCTTTCTTTCTTCTGAGGTATCTTTTATTTTTGCTATATCTATAAAGAATTCTTTTTTTTTTTTTTTTTT